GGTTTCACGGGCGCCGGCGTGCTGGGCCGGAACGGCTTGTCTCTGCAGCCCATGACCTTGGGGCCGGGCACACTCCTTGCTGGTTTGTCGCCTGAGCGCCCTTGGTGGCCCCCTGCCTGTTAGACTGTGTGGGAAGGGCTTGAAGCTCTTCAGAGTTCTGGTTGTGTAGAAGACACATCTCCAACCCCCACCCATTCCGAAATTCACTCTGCTCTTTCATTCAGTAAATATGTCGTAACCTCAGTGTGTCTGTGAGCCGGGCACTGGACCAGCTGGCAGTTACGGCAAGGAACCAGCCTGAGACAGGGCCGGTGTCACGTAAAAAAATTACAAATGTGTCATTTCAAACTGGGGTAATGTATTGCACAGCGGGAAACTTAAAGCGAACTAATCATTCACTACCCCTAGTAGAGACCTGGTGCAGTGGATAAATTCCCTGAACGCCAACTGAAAATGGTCGGGGCGTGGAAAGTACCAGCCAATCCGTGGAAGAAATGTGTGCTGGTGCCTCAAGGTGCCTCAGTCCAGATGACGGCCCGGAAACCCTGCGGGCCAGTTCACATCTGCCCTCCAGCGTGGCAGCTTTGGTTTGGGTTGGATTTATTAGAAACCTGAGACTGGAGAGTAATTACTTCAAGAAGCAGATTGAGGCCAGTGAACTTAAAGTGGTACCGAGGGAGGGTCCAAGGAGTCCCCTCAGTGCTATAAATGCTTTGTTGGCAGTTCAAACCCACACTGAGGGGTCTGGCGATCTGCTCCCAAAAGTCATGGCCTTGACAGTTCTAGGGAGCAATTCGCCTCTGCACACGTGGGGCATCCTGAGTAAGAATCCACATGCCTGTAACAGCAGTGAGGGATGGAGTCCCACACCACCCCCTACTCCCTACCTCTAAACTACAGAGAGCAAAACCTTGGCCTCACGTTTGAATGTGTGCTTATGCGGGATACCCTTAAGCCAGCAGAACAGCCTACCCTTTCCAGGCTCCCGCTCTTGGCAAGACTGTTTTTTGCCCAGGCCTTCACACTTCCTTCTCTGCCTGATTTGGCCCTTTCTTGGCATGCTGTCAAGGAGTGCTCTTTAAACCTGCCCACTTAGTATTAGGGAGGACTGGACTACCCTTTATAAAGGAGCCCCGATGGTGTAGTGGGTTACATGTTGAGCTGCTAACTGCTAGGTAGGGGATTCAAAACCACCAGCTGCTCTTTGGGAGAAAGATGTGGCTTCCTCTTCCCACAAAGATGTACCTTCTACGAGACCCACAGCGGCAGCTCTGTTCTGTCTTGTTAGACCCCTGTGAGGCAGAACGGACTGGATGGCAATGAGTTTGAGTTGTTTCAGTTGCCATTAATAAAGAGCTGGAGGAAAGAGCAATTTGTGGTAAAGAGAAAGTCTTATTTCACTGTTGCTTTGATCTTAAAAGTAATTCTCTGGATTTATGGATTTGACTGAGTGGCCTAAATCTCGACCTTCTAGTACTTGGTGAACATCCCTGTGGGTGTGACCTTTTTGTCATCCTTGGAGGCTGAGAAGCTGGCCGATTCTTCTGCCTCTTGCCCATTTGAGTGTAAGCTCCACAGGAGCAGAGCCCTTCCCCACTTTGTTCACCATTACATTTCTCTTAGAGCCATGCTTGCCTTACTGTCCAAAGTGAATGTTGTTATGGTAAGCCCTGACTTTTTAAATTAATGCAACAGAAACAAATGCATATGTCACTGTGATACTGTATCTTAAAGGCTAAACAAATGGGGAGATCTCTGCTGTACAAAATGTGTAAGGAGGGGGAGAATCTTAACACTTTGAGGAGGGTTGCTATGAGTCAGAATCTACTGGATGGCAGCGAGCTGTAAGTCCTTCTGTGTTAGTCTGGGTACTTTAGAGAAACAAATCCACAGAAACTCGTGTATAAGAGAGAGTTTTATATAAAGGGTAAGTGCACATCAAGAAAACATCCCAACCCAGTGCTGCCCAAACCCACAAGTCCAACATTAGCCCATGTATCCAACACCAATCCACAAAGTCCTCTTCCATCTCACAAAACACACGCAATGATGCCAACTGCAGGAGGAAAACCCAATCAGTGAATGTGTAAGCATCTCAGTGCTGGCAGGGGTCTCCACACAGCTGCTCCAGCACCCAGGCCTGCATCCGGGTAGGTCCATGCGGCTTCTCCTTGGGGATGTCTTGCAGTAAATGAGCCTTGCCAGCTGAAGCAGGGAACTGGCTAAGGCAACTGCACCCTGGTCCGACCATCACAAAGAGACCCGAGAACTAGAAAGGCGAGGCTTTATCCCTCTGCCCTTCAATTAACCCACTCAGCTACTCAGGCATGCTTGGCTGACAAAGCAGTTGCCCTGTCCTCTGCTTTGTGTGCCTGGATCTCCCCCACAGTCCAGTGCTGCAAGAGTCTGGTCGCGTCATAAACTCCCACTGCCATCGAGTCAGCGGCGATTCATAGCAACCCTGTAGGACAGAGTAGGGCTCCTTAGGGCAGTGGTTCTCAACCTTCCTATACAGTTAATACAGTTCTGCATGTTGTAGTGACCCCCCAACCATACAATTATTTTCGTTGCTCCTTCATAACCATAATTTTGCTACTGTTATGAATCGGGCAACCTCTGTGAAAGATTATATGTAGAGCCCTGTAATTGGTTCCCCCTCTCTACTCCACCCTCCCGGTATCACCACTGATCCTGAAGAGATCAACGGTCCTGGATTCCCTGTGTTTCCAGTTCCTCTCTGTACCAGTGTACATCCTCTGGTCTAGCCAGATTTATAAGGTAGAATTGGGATCATGATAGTGGGGGGAAGGAAGCATTAAAGAACTAGAGGAAAGTTGTATGTTTCATCATTGCTATACTACACCCTGACTGGCTCATCTTCTCCCTCTGTTATGATTTTAACAGAAAGCCTGAGTATGTAAACTCCCCCCACTGCCCTGTACCTACACCCAGATATCGTCACAGGCCAATGAAGACAGGGAAATTTCGATGCTGACACATTTTTATTTATAATTACTTGGATTTGTTTTGTTTTTGATTATTTTGTTCTACTGACTAGATTTTTAGTGAAGGCGGTGAGGAAATATGGACCCATTTGGAAGGCCTGGGTAACAGTGGTGCAGTAATCGGTACTTAGCAGATTAAAATTTAGGGTTGCCTCCACTTGTCTTTAGCTCTGGGACCTTGGATAAGTTAATCTCATGTTAAGATAAGTCAACTGTGAGGGTTGGGGGAAGCATTGTGGAAATTGTAAAGGGCTAGGTAGGCTTGAAGGAGCCCCAGCGACAGTGGTATTGAGTTGAGCTTTGGTTCAAAAAGTCAGCAGTTCAAAACCACCATCCTTTCCATGAGAGAAAGCCAGGGCTTTTTACTCCCCTAAACAGTTACCATTTCAGCAACTTATGGGGCAGTTCCACTTGCCCTATAGGATTGCTATGAGTTGGCATTGACTGGATGGCAGTGAGTTTGGGAATTTGTCTGTTGCTTTGTTTAGGTAGCTTTGAAGAGACCTGGTGGCACTGTGGGTTTGGTGTCAAGCTGCTCACCACAAGGTTGGTGGTTCAAACCTACTAGCCACTCTGAAAATGAAAGATGAGGCTGTTTGCTCCTACAAACTTTTAGTCACAGAAATCCTGTAGAGGTTACAATGAGCGTTATCGACTTGCTGACAGTGCGTTGGGTTTGGGGTTTAGATAGGCTAAAGCTTTGGGCAAATTGCAAAACATGTGAATTCGAAATGCTTTTTTTATCTGAGTTCTTTGTGCTTTTGATTTAGTCAATATTGCTCAGTAGCGGAAGCTTTGAACTGATGTCCAAAGTGCAGGGCCACAGGTCATCAGTATCAATTCTGTCCCTGGGCACTCTTGTTTCCATTTAGTACTACCTTTTTAAAAACAGTAGAGAGAGTTCTTCACCTTCCAAGGAGTGGAATAAAGAGCACGATTACTAATTTAAAGCTGATGGAACGAAGTCTCCCTAGTCTTTCTGAAGGAGCTGTGGGTTCGATGTTGGGAGAAAGAAGAGGCTGCCTGCTCCCAGAGAGCCTGGCAGTTTGGAAACCCTGTGTACAGTAACTGAATCAGAATAAACCAATGGTGGTCAGTGGGGTTTGGTTTTACTTCTATACAAAGACGCTTCACAAAGTCTACATACACAGAATGAAAAGATCATGAAGTTTTGTTATACTGTGGTGACTTGGATGTCGCTGGAAGCTGTGCTGGCGGATTTCAGACCTGCAGCGTCCCCGTGCTGGGAAGGCTTCAGGGACAATCGGGCAAGGAGCAAACGTCTAATGGAGCACAACAGACCATTGCCTGATGCTGTACCAGGCACCGTTTCCTTGTGTCATATGTAAGCCACCATGAGTCGGCAGCTAAGAACAGCACTTATATTGACATGATTGAAAAGACCTATTTTGAAATTGCTTTTAGAATTCTTTAGGAGATATGTCTCTCCTCTCTCAAATTTCTGCCAGGACTGGACTCAGGACTACGGCTTCTGAGAGAATCTCTATGCTAAACTTTTTAACCGACTTGGCAAATAAGACAACTTAAGAAGGGGGCCTTCTGTCCTGGTTAGGGGCAGGCTGGGAGTAATTCCAGTCAGCTAGGAGCTTATCTCTGTCACTGATTGAGAGCCTGAGAGACAGAGCCATCTTTTCAACATGGAAAACTACTTGTAAAAACTGTTCTCTTATAATCAAATATGTCCTTGACATTCAAAACTGTCCTTTCACTCAGCAGTTAATGAAAGTGATACAGGCAAACAGGTGGCTACATGTTTTCTAAATCCTGGGTAAGAACGAATGCTTTCGTTAAGTTAGTTCTGCAGTTACTTTGAGATAACTGTGTTTCTTAGTATCGCCTAGGTCAGTGGTTCTCAACCTTCCTAATGCCTCGACCCTTTAATACAGTTCCTCATGTTGTGGTGACCCCCCAACCATTAAATTATTTTCGTTGCTACTTCATAACTAATTTTGCTGCTGTTATGAATCGGGTGACCCACAGGTTGAGAACTGCTGGCTTAGGTGGTGTTTCCCAACACTCCTCTGGGGTGCTGGGATAACCCAGGGGGCTGCAACAGTGGGCACTTACACTCTATCCTGGATTATGGGCTCCAGAACCAACAGTTTTCATTGTGGGGTATAGGTGGTGAGTTATTTATTCATTCTGAAAAGGAAAAGGTAGAGACCAAGTAGTTTGAGAGCTTGTTGCTTAGGTACTAGGAACAACCTGGTAGCTTAACTCAGTGAAAAAGTATGGGCAGGATTTTGAGTCTTGACCTTACACTCTTGTCGGAGAAGGGTGACAATGTTTCATGAGAGTCTAGAAAAAAACTAAGTGATAATGAAAGAGCAGGAAAGATTCAGTTTCATTTGTAAGTCCTGTGACCGCATGTTCCTCGATAAATATTAAAATGTTTTGCATTTTCCGATGGAAGCAAGTCAAGTCATTGGGAAGTTTCTAAGAGTTAAAAGCAGCAGCCGCAAAGACACACAATCCTGCACCATCATGATCTACTTGTAGGCATGACATAGATGTGCAGACTGAATAGGTGAGGGAGGGATAATGGGAATGTTTCCACAAATATGTATAATTCGACAGAAGATATTTGTGAATACTTCTTAGACATAACTGAACACTGAAGGAGAGAGATGTCCTAGGACCATGACCTCGGGAACAGCAAGGTCTGTTGACATCATGTAGTTCACACTGACAGTGTTCTCTGCCCTACGTGGGTGAGTAGTAACTGGTTTTAAAACTCATGAGCAGCTATCTTAAGATCTTAACCATTGATCGCTCCCCTTCCAGAGGAAAAGAGGGATAAAAACCAAAAGACATGGAAGCAATTAATCCAGTGAACCACACAAACATCAGTCTCAACCCTGACTGAGACCAGAAGAACTAGATGGTGCCCAGCTACCACTACCAACTGCTCTGATAAGGATCCCCTTGGAACAATGGTTCTCAAGCTGTGGGTTGCAACGCCTTTTGGGGTCAAATGACCCTTTCACAGGGGTTGCCCAATTCATCACAGTAGCAAAATGCGAGTGATGAAGTAGCAATGACAATAATTTTATGGTTGGGGTGTTACCACAACATGAGGAACTGTATTAAAGGGTTGCGGCATTGGGAAGGTTGAGAACCACTGTCTTAGAAGGTCTTAGATAGAGTAAAAGAAAAAAATGTGGACCAGAACTCAAAATCATAGAAGAGACCAGGCTTACTGGTTGATAGAGATTGGTGGAATCCCCAAGACCATGGCCCTTCATCACCCTTCAGGTCTGGAACTGAATTCACCTTCTAGTAGAAAAATCAACCATTTAAAATCAAAAGGGTAGCATTTAGCCAACAGGAGTGCTAAAGGGGTAAGGTAAGAAGGAGAAACTGGAAACACGGGGAGAAAGCTGGATATGTGATGGGGGGTTGCAGTGGATAACTTAAGACAAAATGTGTGTGAATGTGGAATGCAAAACCAATGATCTGTTCCGTTCAACCTTCATCTAATTCCCAATAAGAGGGAAAAAGTATATACATTTTCAGTGTTCATTTATAATACATAGTCATAGCTGTGGCCCACATAAATAAAAGCTGTTTGGGAGCTACAGTACATTTTAAAGAGTGTTAAGTGTCTCAGAGAGAGGATGGCAAGACTTTGGGCGTGTTGTCTGTAGAAGGGCACCCTGCTTGGCAGTAAGGAGGAAGAGCCCAAGTGACCTGCACTGGCACAGTGACTCACAGTGGGGTCAAGGACACCAACTGCAGCATTAGGAGAACTGAGCAGAGAGGCCAACTCCACAACAAAGACAAGGGTCCATGGATCAAATCTTTGGAGAACTTCTTAGAATAGGGGTGGGGGTGGAGATGGGGCTATACCGATGCCCTTTTCTGTGGACCTAATTCACCTGGCTCAGTCAGATGACTCATGGGCATGAGTGACTTCTGCAGTAACTTCTAAATGACTATTTAAGGTAATATGACTCTCCAAACAAACGCACTGCCATCTAATAGATTGTTCACTCCTAGCAACCCTTTAGGACAGGGTTTCCAAGACTGTCATTCTTTTTTTTCTTCCTTACGATCATTTTCTTGGGGGCTTTTACAACTCTTGTTACAATCCATGCATCCATTGTATCAGACATATTAGTGCATACATTGCCATTGTTCTTTTCTAGACATTTACTTTCTACTGAGCCCTTGGGATCAGCTCTTGGGACTGTAAATCTTCACAGGAGTAAAACGCCTCGTCATTCTCCCTCGATGGTTTCAAACTGTGGGCTTTGCGGTTGGCAGCTCAGTGTGCCATCAACAGTGCCACAGGGCTCTCATTACGTCTCACAAAACAAATAATGAACACTGGGGGCATTCTAATGAAAGAGGCCATAATCTGTTAGAACCACTCAATTTTTAACTCCTAAATCTAGCAACGCTCTGTCCTTTTCGTTGCTGCTGCCACCACCCTGGTCCAGGCCCACATCTGCTCTTTCTGGGAAACCAGCTGCGTCAATGACCCGCAGGCATCCACCTCACCACTCTGCCCTCAGTACCCCCACCCAGCGACCAGCTGGGCTCTCAACAACACAAGTCCATTCACATTGTGCCCCTCACCTGGTCTTCACGGTGACGGTGGTAGTGGTGGTAGTTGCCATTGAGTGGCTTCCAGCTCATCTAACCACCATGTGGTCACCACTCAAAACTCACTGCGATGGAGTCAGTTCGAACTCGGCAGCCCTGTAGGACAGAGTAGAACTGCCCTTGTAAATCTATAGGAGCAGAAAGCCTCATCTCTCTCTCTCAGCAGCTGGTGGGTTGAAACTGCTGTAACCAATTACCCCGGGGCTGCTGTGGTAATCGCAACTCCCTTTGATAGATCTCCCATGTTTCACAGCATCCAAAATAGAACCCAAGAACCTACATGCTTAAGCACTCCAGATGATGCTCTAACAAGCTTGGGGACAAGGGGGGGTGGGGGATCAAGACTCTTGGGACATCATATAAAACTGTTACATTGGCCCTTGCTTACTTATCTCTGTTCTTCTGCCCGATTACTTGTCTGGGGAATTTAGGTCAGGTTTACACTGCTCGGAAAAAACCTGCCCGGGAACCCTGGTGGGGTAATGGGTTGCAGGTTGGACTGGTAATCGTCAGGGCAGTAGCTTAGATTTCACCAGCCATGCCAAGGGAAAAGAGGAGGCTGTCAACTATCAGAAAGATCTAAAAGTCTCATGACCCCCAAAGGGAAGTTCTACTCTGTCTTACAGGGTTTCTATGAATCGGTATCAACTCATGTGTCCTGCCCTACCCTTCTGCTTCTCAGAGCATTTGTGTTGAAATTAATGGTCTTCTCCAGGCTCCGGCAAACTACTGTGAAATCATACACTTTGCTGTGTTTGCTTCTTCTGGCATGTGAGTGTGTATAAGCACACAGACATCTCTGATCGTGGGGAGCCAGCCAACTTGCCTGATGCCCTTGCTGTCTTTCTCCTTTCAGCTCCTGGTGGGCCCATGTGGAGATGGGGCCTCCGGATCCCATTCTGGGAGTCACTGAAGCTTTTAAGAGAGATACCAACAGCAAAAAGATGAACCTGGGAGTTGGGGCCTACCGGGATGACAATGGAAAGCCCTATGTGCTCCCTAGTGTCCTGAAGGTGAGCATCTGTCTGCTGCCAAATCAGACCAGGAGAGTGTTGCACTGGCGACACTGGCACCGACCGGGCTCAGCTCTTGGGATCTGGGGCTGTCGTCTCCTTGGCTGTCACAGGCAGTGCTGGGAATTGCATGGTCTCTCCCTGATTGATCCTGCTGTGGTAATTATAAAGATCGGCAGAGTGTCCTGTGTTGGTGCCCTGGTGGCATAATGATTAAAGCACTCAACTGCCCACTGAAAGGTTGGCAGTTCAAACCCACCAGCCACTCTTCAGGAGAAAGACGTGTCAGTCTGCTTCTGGAAACCCCATGGGGCAGTTCTGTTCTGTCCTGTCCTCCAGGGTCACATGAGTTGACATTGCAAACTTACTGGGTTTGAGTGGCTGTCCCTAGAGGGCAGAGCAGAACTGCGCCCTAGGGTTTCCAAAACTGATCTTTGTCAGAGCAGCCATTCTCATCTTCCGCTCAAGGAATGGCTGCTGAGTTTCACCCGCCCATCCACAGCAGCCCGACATGGAAACTCATTACACCAGCAGGGCTCCTTAAGCATGAAGGCTCGTTTCTCACCTTTTGATTGTTGCAACTGTCATGTGCTGTCGAGTCAATTCCAACGCATATGTTGATTGCCATGGTAAACTCTTTCTAGATTACATGTTTATACCCTTCCTGCCTTGTATAAGGATGCTTCTTCATTTTTTCCTCTTAATTTTGGTAGTTCTATTTGTAATCTTTTGATTGGTTATCATGTAGCTTTAAAGACTATAACTGCCATATCCCCCTTAGAATACATTTCTTTTCTTCTTTTTTTAAGAAGCTCCTCTGATGGACTGTGCATATGCTGCTCCTGCTCTGTCATTACCAGAAAAGGCGGGGGTGGGAGTGGGGTGACGTGACTTCTGGGCGGCAGATCTAGGACCCGCAAGAGAGCGTTGCAGAAGCGCCCTTTGGCTGAGGATAAGGAGCTCTGTAACAATCCAAACTCTCAGTGGCCAGGCTAGCTGAGGCCCTCGTCCCCATCAGTGGACCAGGGATGGACTGACTTCTGAAGAGTCTTTTTTTTTTTTTGTTTTTGTTTTTTTTGTTTTTTTGTTGTTGTTTTTTGTTTGTTTGTTTTTTTCTTCTGAAGAGTCTTAACTGTGCTTGTAGACGAGCACCACTGGGCACTTTGTACATGACCCCAGAGAACTAACCCTTCTCGCTCGTAGGAGGTGTGGAAACAGCTGTTTTTCCATTTACAGTTTGAGGAAACTACGACCCAGCTTAAATACATAGCTAGTAAGGTCAGCTAAGCCTCCATCTACGTCCGTTGTTGCTCATAAAAACATCATTCTTGTCCATTCCAAAAATGTCACTTTTCTATATATTTCTTGAAAAGCTGCAAAATATGGTTTAAAATAAAAGGTGTTTTCTGTTCTGCAGCATAAAATATCTGATTTTCTATCTGCCCCTTTTCATGGACAAGAACTTCAAAAGCCATGCTTTTGACATGGATGAACCTTTGAGAACGTTGGCCTGTAAGTGACCTAAGTCAGTCACAAAAGGACAAATCCCACTGACGTGGCATATGTAGGCACGGCAGATGGAGAGCAAAGCTCATTAGTGGGTTACCGGGGGTGGGGAGAGGCGAGTCACAGCTGAGTGGTCACTTTTGGGGATGGGGATGGGGATAGAGATATGAGTATACTGATGGTTGTACAACAGGATGAACGTAGATCTCACCCTAAACTGTGCATGTTTGAAAAAAATGTTAAATTTCCAACTTTTTTAATGTATATTTACCACAGTAAAACAGTTGTAAAAGATGCTCATAAAGTGAGGCTCCCAGGAGGAGGTGAGTTGAGAGCCAATGCAAAATCCACTGTGAGGAGGGCGTAGTGTTCCTGGTCGCATTTGGCCAATTGAAACGTGTCCGAGAGGTGAACGATGGGTAAACATGATAATGGGGCAGGAGGAAAGGGGAAAAAAGTAAAAATTATATATAGGTATAAATATAGATATGTGTATATGTAAATAAAGATATGTGTATGTGTATACACACGTACATACAACAAGGAACCAGATGGACTTTGGGTCTCGACTTAAATCTTACTGCAAGAACGGTTTGTTCTAATGTGATATGATACCTTCCCAACATGATTGCTGAAGACAAAGTGTGTGCATAAACAAATGTGAAGAAAGCTGATAGTGCCCAGCTATTAAAAGACATAGCACCTGGAGTATTAAAGGCTTGAAGTTAAACAAGCAGCCATCTAGCAGGGTAACAACAAAGCCCACATGGAGGAAGCACACTAGCCTTGTGTGATCATGAGGTGTTGATGG